CTCCCTTCTGCCCGTGCAGCGTGGCACAGTCACGGCAGACGACGTGCTGGCAGGGGGCCAGGCGTCCGTAAATTTGGATAGGAAATCCACAGTGGTGACAAAAGCGAACCGGCACAGCAGCTCTCTCCCCTAGGAAGTTATTCAAGTCCCAGGGCGCCTGCTCGGGCACCCAGGTGTCCTCCAGCACGCTCCCTTCGTCACAAGGCCGAGCTCCTCCTTCATCCAGGCCTCCTTCGGCACTAGCCCGTGCCTCCGAGAGCGTCCCGCTTGGGTCCCTGGCAGCGGGAGGCATGCGTGTGACTGGGCCGTGGCCGAGCTTTGCCAGGTTTGGTCCGTGACCACCGAGACCAAGCACGGATCCCGAGTTCTCAGTGCCTCGGAAGTCATTGAGGTCTGCCAGCAGGTCAGTCCAAGCGGAGGAATACAAGGCAGCCGGGGGCCAGTGCCTGGATCATGACACGAGGGAGCAATTCAGATTTTTGGGAAGAGAAGGAGGAAGCGTTCTAACTTGGAAATGCAAGCGTGAAGCTTTAGCTCTGAGTAAAAAGGTGGGATTTGGCTCAGGGGGTGCTGGGCCCTCAGCTCTCCCGCCCCCAGTTCCGCAGCCTTTACGGTTTGCCCCAGGAATACGACCAAAACGGGTTTGCATGAGCGGGAAACGAGCCTCGTCGTGGAGGAAACCTGCACCCGAGGATTCCTCGAGACACCAAGGGTAGTGCCTGAAAGCCGACGCCACGCAGAGGAGGAGGTGGAGGCCGCAGAGGACTGACTCAAGGACTTACTCCATCTCGGCGGGCTGAGGGGAAACGGATCGCGCAGCCAGCGACGCCGCCTGCATTTGCTCCAGAGGTTTGTACTGGGTACCGGCGCCCGTCAGATCCTGCGTGTACTGCACTACGGGCCCTTTGCTCCGGACAGCGCCTGGGGAAGTGGAAAGAGCAAAGTATCAACAGGACGAGTCTCTATCATCAACCAAAGTTTGGTGCACTAGGCACAAAAACATTGATTTCATCCCCGAGGGCAAGGAAAACGGGGATTTGCAAGGAAGAAGGGGTCGTTGGCTGAGCTCCGAGTCGCAGCCGGTCACCCCAAACAGGTTCCTGCCACGCTGCACAACGGCACTCTGGTCTTTATGGAGGAGAAAAAGCCCACTGTATGTCTTAAATCCCTGCTAAACACCCCAGCAAACTGCCCCCCAACCCCCCTCCCAGCCCACAACGCATCCATTCCAACCCCAGGGTACACAGGGAATCCAAAAAGGTGCCACGTACCAACGTTGGGACGAGTCCTGGCTTGCCCACTCTGCTTCTTTTCTTGGGTGGAGGCCGTGGAGGTTTTCATGCTGAACATGGGCTCGAGGCGCGTGGAACCCCGGTAAATCCACTCGCAGCGTTTGTCATCCTGCAGCAAGGAGAAGGCAAGGCTCAGCACCTACGGCGAGAGCTGCCAGAGGCACAGGAGGCAGCGGGGTGCTTTAGGGTGAGCAGGATCGAACGGAAAAGAGGCCGAGCACCGAACTCGAGGCTCTAGAGAGCCCACGCAGCCAAGAGGGGACGCTCCTCATATCTGGGGGAACACTGAATACAACCCAAATCTAGAAAGAGGCCCAAGACCAAGGCCCCAGACCTCAAACGCCGCTCTGTTTGTAGCCCCACAACCAAGGAGGCACTGCTGGAGAAAGAAAGTCCCTCGGGAGACAAGCTCCGTCCTCGGCACAAACCGAATCCGCTCTGGGACGGGGAGGCTCGAGCTGGAAGCGCGCGATGCCTTCCCCGGTGGCTGTGCAGTTATCTAGCCAGGGAGGGAGCCACGAGAGAGCGTCCTCTGCTCCCCTTCCGCGATCTGCAGGGTTTGAGCAAGCGGAATATCGCGGTTTCTGCCCGGTTTCTCTCCTGCTCCTCAAGCCAGCACTCGGATTTGGAGAGAAGACACGGCCGAGGTGTTTACGTCAACACAAGGGACCACGACACAACACCTGCAGATGATGGATTTTGTTTCTTATCCATCCACCTCTTCCAAGTTCCACAAGCCAAACGCTTCAAAAGGCTTCCGAAGCCTCTGTCGCGCGAAGGGAAGAGCCTCACCTCGGCATCAGCGCGCGGGTTGTCTACCTGCTCAGCCAAAGGCTTCCGCTGGGCCCTGTCGGACATCAGCAAGGAACCTGGACCTGGTCAGCCCCACCCCCTCGACTCAAATCTTCCCCCTCTCATGGCAGAAGGGAAACTGTCCTACCAGGAAGAGGATTTTGACCAGGCTGCCATCCACTTCTTCCACTCGGGATTTCCACCAGGTCCCTTCCCACTCCGTTTTGATCAGCTGGCCGTTCTTCAGCAGCACCATGGGACGGTTGGGGTAGGCCGTGATGTACTCCTCGATGAAGTCGCGGCAGGAGACGTCCTCTATGTCCTCCCAGGTCTTTTTAACTGTTCAGACAAGGATGGACGGGAGAAAGGGAAGAGGAGGAGAGACTCTTACAATCTCCAGCTCCTTTTTATAGGAGCTCCCAGATGGGTTTTTATGAAGAACAATCAGGATTTTTGGTGGTAGGGCATACGGCCACGTTAACACACCCAGGCTGCAGGGAGCCCCAGGACACGCAGTAATAAATCACTGTCTCCTCCAGCTTCATACGCAACGCAGACTTCTGCGAGCACAGCGCTGGAGGGGACACGCTGTCTGTCCCTGCCCCGTTGAGCCAGGCTCGCTCATGTACCCGAAAGCTCTCCGTACGATCGCCGTGTCAGGACACCGGGGGGGCAGGGGGTCACTCACGTGGTCTGCAGATCGGGTACAGCTCCCAGTCCTTGACATACGAAGCGTAGCCATCGTCAAAGAAGATGAGGAACCTGGAGAACAGCGAAAAGAACAAGTGTTGGATGCTGGAGTTAGAAATGCAGCTGAAGAGAGCTGGGGGGGGGGCTTTTTCCCAAGGGCAGGGAGTGACAAGACAAGGGGCTTTAAGGTCCCTTCCAACTCAAAATATTCCACGATTCCACGGTTTCTGCCAGGAGATTATGAGCTTTCTGGTATTTCCACTTCCCAGGAACAGCTCTCCTCCAGCCCCGAGCTGTCCCTGTGCACCCACATCCGAAAGGGAGGCTGTCCAAAGGCTCCTACAGCACAGCCAGGCCCTCTTCCCTCACCTCCGGATTCCCTCTGTGCCTTGGCCACAGGAGGGAAAGGAAAAGACAGCTTAATTGCTCTCAGTTTAATTGCTCTCAGCTTAATTGCTCCTGATCTCTGCAAGAAAAGATATTTCTGGAGCCTTTGAGACAAAGGAGCAGCAGAGGCCACACACCGTGACGGCAAAGGCACCACGGAGGGAGCTGGGGGACACGTCCAGGGCTCTGCCTGCAGACAGGGGACAGCCCAACAGAGCGCCCAGTGCCTGTGGGGAAGCAGGAGCCAGGAGCGGGGACACCCCCAAGGCTGGATACGGCACCCGCTTAGCGCCACGCGCCCCTGGATAACACCGGCGGGATAGGGAGCCGCGGAAAGGCTGCGTTACAAGAGATCAGCCTTCCAGCCAGCCTAGCCAGGAGGAGTAAATCTGCAGCACGACTAATAAACGCAGCTCCTTTTCAGTCATTAACCACATGAGCAGACAGAACTTTACACAATTAGGCGGTTACGGCGGATCCACGTTTGAAACGGGGTGATTGTTATCGGAAAGACCACAAGCCACCACCGGGAAGAAGCCCTGCCCCTCCTTTACAGGCGCCCGACAAGGCTCCTCCAGCCCTGCTGCTTCTCCTTAAGTGCTTTGGCAACACTTCCAGGGCTTGTATTTCCCAACCCCGCCGGTGTTTGATGCCTTGAGCAGCGCAGACTTCCCCCCAGCCCGATAATTTGAATGAATTAGCAAGTCTAATTCATTCAGGGAGAGGAGTCATGGCGTGGGAAGCTCCACCCCGGGAGCTCTCGGAGATAAGAGAGATGGAAGAAATAACAATCAGCATGATGTCCCCTGAAAGAGAGGGGAGGGAGTTTGCTCCCGCCACAGCAAAACACACAAATCCCCGTTTTTCTTTCATTTCCTACAGAGCGAACCAAAGAGGGAGCGAGCGGCAGGCGGCCGCGGAGGAGAATGGGTACCTGTCTTTGTTCTTCACGTTGGGGGTTTCGGCCACAATGCCAGCGTAGAGCCAGACCTGATTCCCATCTTTGTATTTGGCCACGACCCTGCTGCCAACGTAGTGTTTCTCAGGGGAGGGGTGATAGTCGTAAGCGATGTGATTGCCAGAAAGCAAACTCTTCCCTTTGTTATCAAATTTCACCTTGTACTTGTTGCCAGCACCTGAAAGACATTTCCACGCAGCCAGATGAATCAAAGCCAAGTGATTTCGTACCCATCCAACGCCGAATACCCTTCGGATCCAAGTCCAGAACCCGCCTAAAAGCCCTCCAGAGATTAATTCGGAAGGTAAAACGTTACGGCAGAGACGCGTTGCCCCCTCGACTCGTTCCAGGTGGCACGGGAAGGGGGCCAGCTCAACATCACCCACCCACAGCCCCCGGCACGGAGGGAACGCGAGACGTACCGACCGTCTGGATTGCAATCAGAGTTCCTTTGTGCCACGTTTTGGTTCTCTTCTTGCCCAGGATCCTCATGCCGACGTTCAGATCGCCGTCGTTGTTGAGATCACCCCCCGCCGCCGCGGGGCCAACCGGCTGGACGGGGCCGGGAGTTTCCTGAGGATTCTGTGGATCTACCCAAGGAACACCACCAGAAAATGGGTTAGAAACTGCCCCAAGGCTCCGCTCCTGCGTTTGCCGTTGGAAGAACATCCGTCGGACCTGAGACAGGAGGCGTTCTTCAGCTTTCCTTTTACCTCAGTGAGCCAAAGTGCCTCGGTTTTACTGGATGGAGTGAGGTTTAAACGTCATTAAAAAGCTTTCACGTTACGGGAACTGCAGCACTTGTATGTGCTCTGGGAAAGGGCTTAAAGAAAAACAGGAATTTGGAATCCATGTATCCCGGCAGCCTGGAAAGCCAACCGTATGCCGGGCTGGATCCAGAGCGGTGTGGGCAGCAGGGTGAGGGAGGG